CGACACCACCTTCGCCTTGTATGTTGAAGTAGCTTCTTGTACCCATCGAGTATTCTAATGTCACACCATTGCTGAACACTGATCCAGCAAGATACCACGTCCAAGTGGGTCAAGTTGGTCCCATATATATGCACAATGAGTGGTTTATCACCATTGTGGTAGTTGTGGGCAAGTCTCTGCATCTTAATCATCCAACCTAAAGAGTGACAAAGGAGACTGGTCACATGGCCAGTTGCCACATATGGATTGCATGTCCTCTACGAGGTGGAAAGAGTTCGAACCTTTTGGGTCCATACTCCCAACCCTCCCCCATGCCTTAAGGTTTTGCTCATCTAATCTACTCTTAAGTCACGGAAAGCGAAATTCAAACTTGATTTTAAGAGAGCGGCTACACTGTCTTGACTAACTCAACCTGTATTATCTACTCTTAAGTCATGGAAAACGAAATTCAATCTTGACTTTAAGAGATCGGCTACACTGTCCTGACTAACTCAACCTGTATTATCTACTCTTAAGTCACAGAAAGAGAAATTCAAACTTGACTTTAAGAGAGCGGCTATAATGTCTTAACTAACTCAACCTGTATTTTCAGCCTTAACTACACAATAGCATGTTGCAATTCATAAACTATTGGGTTATTCAAAGTATAAGAAAATTACTCGAATGGACCTACATGGACAGTGAGGGCTTAGCTTACAAGTTTGTTCTTATCCATAAATACCATTTTAAGCTAACCCCTTTACTTAAAAATGGAGTCCTTGCTTATTATATGTGGAGTCAAAGGTCAATAATGTTGAAAAAAATAAAAGGTCAACAATGTCCACCAAACATGTTTATTCAAGAATATTCTAATAGAGGCTCAAGAATCTGATAATTTTAAACGTTACAGCATCAAGAAGCAAGCGAAATTAAACGCTTCGTAAATACACGGTAACAAGAGGTCTCACTGGACATAACAAACATCAACTCTCACGTCAATGAAAACTTTTTGAGAATGACAAACACATCCTTCCAAGCAAAGGTGTATTAAACTATTATATGAGGATTGGTGGATGCAATGTTTAATTAACTCTCAATAATTTATGAGAAGATGGAGTGCATGACTATTGCCAACGAAGGTTGGTTGAGTTGATAAAGATCGTTCTCTTCGTTAGACTAAAATTTAAGTTTGAGTCCTGCTGCCAACACTCTCTTAGTAGGCGATCTGTAAAAACTAAAAAAAAGGTTAAGACACCCTCTGTAAATCCTCAAAGAGGTTTAGTATGCACTGAGCCCTGAGATGGGTAGCCTCTTCTCCTCCTTAAACTTTTTAGAATTGAAAGAGTGCATGAATATTATGTGCACCCAAACCTAACCTAACCTAACCCAGTCAATTGTACTAGGCCATGGTCAATCCAAAATCTTTGATGGCAATGGTATAGCATCACCACCTCAATAATTTAAAGTATCTTTCAATCTCAAAGTTTCAACAAACCCTATTATTCTTTACTATTATAATGCTTACTCAGTCCTGTGTACCAAGTCATCGCATGCTCTGTGCTTTGACATAATTATAGCTCATGTTACTAAATAAAATTATGGGCCCATCTGAGGTAAGTATATAATCAGTCTTGTCCTGCTCATATGAGTTTTTTTTTAGGGATTGTGTTATTGACATATATATATTTTTTTAATCTTTCACATTGTCTTTTAATTTTCAGTTGTAAGATCAAATGAATTGAAGATGCTCATAACAAAAATTAACAGAAATGTGTGAAGGTAAAAAAAGTGCAGGTGTATGCGTACCCTATTTTAATTGTACCAATAAGAAAATCACGTCCTATTATAAAAATGCTAGCAACATTTTTATTTGAATATTCTTGTTCTACCTTTTTTATTATATTCCATCATGTGCTATGGCACGACGATCTGAATTGTCTGTTTTTTAGGTTACATTTAGAGACCAGTTTTGCCAACAATCAACTAATTCAAAAGTGTTTAGTCATATAACGGTTATTTAATCAAAAGACAAAACATGTTTTTCATATAAATTTGAGATTTGACAACATTAAATGAGCGGTTAAATGATTTCAGATTTTTGTTTTTGTTTTGCACAACTGATCTTTAAAGGATGAACTATAAAGTAAATGATTTTAATCACCGAACAACATTATAGAATACAAGATAGAAGGAAAACTGAAAAAATAGAGCCGAGAAGGTCGGTAGCATCCCAATCCAATAATTAAAGGCAAAAAATGAGGCAATTATCAATTTATCATGCAAAGATTGGAGGATACCAAATACATATTTGTTGCATGAACTACTCAATGATTAGCAAATCTGTTTTGCAATTGCCAAACCAATGGTTGGAAGCATCTAATTTTAAGTGTTTTTTTTGTTAGCAAAAGATCAGAATTTAGATTTGGTTTGTCGGTCGGTCGGTTCTTTCGTCTGATGTGAGTTGTAACCAGACATTTGTGCAGTAATAAGCATTTGATCCTACTGAATAAATTAGAGTTTCTGAATTTCAGGAATATCTTTTGCCAAGTTTTTGGCTTACCTCAATCACACTTGTATTGTAAAACGTAACAGAATCCTCTTCGAAACCAATCTTTTGAATTTTGGGATAAAAAAAAGGGTCATTTTAGTTCCGGTCTCTAATCATTCTAATTGGTAGACTGAAACCTTATTTGTTTAAATATTTTGATTGAGACCCTTAATATCATTTAAGATATTTAGCTCATGCATTTATGCATTGAATGTCCCACAAATTATGAAATTTAAACAAATTCAAACAAAATTTTTATAAGATAATAAATACTTAAAATAAATATTACAATAATATTGTTCTTCACACAATTATAGCAAAAAAATAATGTACCCACATAATTATTCTTTTAAAAAAAATAACTACTGATATATTTTAAAACATAAAATAAATACATATAATTAGGATGGGTACAAATAATTAAAAAAATGTGTACAATAAGAAATTAATATATGGGTACAAATGAAAACTGAAAAGAAAATTGGTACAATTAAAAAACAGGTTGCAAATTACAAATGGGTACAAACGAAAAATATATATATATATATATATATGATAAAAAATTTAACCATAAATATAAATATACCAAAGTCAACATTTCTAACACTAAATGAATATTCCTTCAAAAAATACTAAATAAATATATTTAGAAATAAAAAATATTTCATTATTGAAATAATTAATGACGTTTATTAATACCTAAGAACTTTGATCAAAATTTGAAAAGAAGTAAGGTTTTAATCAATCGAGTAGCCAAAAAATAGATGAGAACCTAATTTCTCCTAAAAAAAGCACAACCGTTCACGTAAAATTTTGCGGTTGAGGGTCGCTCTTCCTCTTTAATTTTCTAACCCGTTCTCTTTCTCTCAATATTGTCGCCTTCTCCTCCGGTGGCGATTAACAAAGCAGATCCGCGAAAGAAAGAAGAAGAAAATGGGAGGGGTTGAAGGTCAGAGAAATAAGCAGTGGGAATTGAGGGGAAGGGAGGTGAGTAATAATAGGGAGGTTTGCTGGATTCGGATAGTTTGGATTCAGAGAGGATCTGTTCACAAAACGAAACTACCGCCTTTAACACGTACGTCACGGTAGCGTAGCTGCCATGTTTGATCACGATGCTGTATCCCATCATCCCATCTAATAACAAAATTTAGTCAGGACCTATCTTTGCTGAGTTGAGAAAATCTGTTGTGTCATGACTTATGAGAATGAATTTACGTACAATCACGACGTTAATGTGACAATATTTTCAGTCTATTATACATTATTATGCATTTTAACTTACCTATTTTTGCTGAGTTGAGACAATATGTTGTGTCACGACTCAAGGATATGAACTTATTTACAATCATGATGTTAATATGACGGTATTTTCAATTTATTATACGTTATTATGTATTTTAACTTACCTACATGCGATTGAGTAATGAGCTTGGAATATCATAACCTTAACCTCCCAATTGCAAGTAAGTCATTCTCGTACTACGAAAATAAACAGCATTGTGTTTACTAAATAAATTGTAATTGAGCTTCCACATGATTTATAAAGTCTTTTGCTAGAGCAAGATCTTACGAAAATTCATTAGTTACATTTTTTACAAAGAATTTGAGCAATTACTAATTTACTCACGATTTAATTGGTTTTACAAATTGCTATGAATATCATGCATTATAAAACCTAATTTCGTAAAGCATGAGGATCTCAATGAAGTTGGAAAGTCCCATTCACTAGCTTCCGATTTGTACCAACAAAAATATCTTCCAAGGTTACATAATATTTGAGATTTTGCGTTGCATTAAAATGCAAACAAGATGTGATTGGATTAGGAGAATTTTCAAGATTAGTGGTAGCAGGATATTCTACTAACGATGTAGAATAAATGGTCCAGTGGATAGAAGAGGAAATGGACTGACGGAAGGTAAAAGGGCACAATAGAAATTTACAGATTTAGCTAGGCTCTAATATGGGCCCATGATACATTTTTTGAAAAAAAACCGTTCATGGCCTTGTCGTGACATATGATATATTTTAGCCATATGATATTGTTAGGATTACAAAGCAGCATTTGAAATTCTGTAATAATAATCAAACCCTTCAATTACCGTTTGAATTATATATGTCGTTTTTAATTTTCTAAGACCTTTGAGTTTCCCCAAAGTTGCGTTAGTGTCATTATAAGCTGTTTGGCTGTTTATGTAATCTCATCAACTCAATCTTTAGACAAACAATCCTTTAGACTTTCTCTCAAAAATTGATGAATTTTAGACTTTCAATTCTTCAAAGAATTACGCTTGTAATCCTTAGCTTTGTGCTGCGTCAATTAATTTGTTTATTGAAACTTTTGATTAGCTTTTCTTTATACAAGAAAGGTTATGAGTGAAAGAAACTTTGGAAAACAAGAAGAAAAGGGCCTACTTAGTGGTTAGGATGGCAACCCCAAAAGTCTACATATGGCAACACCAAGAGGAACATAGACCTTGTCTTTATTTTGAGAACAGACCTCACATTTTATCTCCATCTCACCCAATTTAATCTTCCCTTACTTCTGGCTTTAAAGAAAAACTACTAGAAGCTAAAGAAATCTCATAGTCTTGGCTTGTTTTCCTCTTTTTCGAGCAAGAAACTTACTTTCCACCGGATTGTGAAGTGTCACTGTGTCATGCGTTCGCAAATAATACTTGTTTAGTCTGAACTACCATCAGAATTGCATTCCTGTTGCATAAAATCTTTCTTCATTTTAGAGTCATTCATTTTCTCAGTGTAATAGTAGTTTCTTGCAGTGTAGTTTCTCTATTCCCACAAGTTATCCAACGCTGCAGAGATTTTTTTTCTCCTCATTCATCTTAAAAAAGAATAAAAATAACATTATATATATATATATATATATATATATATATATATATTGGTCCAATATATATCTATAACAGTCTCCTTCTTTTGTTTCTACTTTGTAGAACAAATAACAATATCAGCACTAAAAGCTGGGAGATTCATCCTCTGATCTTCGAAATTTCCAAGATATACACTGTTCTTGAAATTTGTGCAGCACCAAAAGCTGCCTTTGTTTTTTACTCCCTCTTTGTTCCTTCAAAGATTCCTTTTTTTTTTTTCTTTGTTCCTCTTTTTTGACTTCCAAGTCCAACCCAACATGTCAAGTTTGAATCCCTCAAAAGTTGAAACTTCTATCCCAATCCATTTCCACATGCCATTGCCATACCAATATTAATTCTTGAACTTCAACTCTTAATCTCTTCTGAAGAATCTTGGGGTCATAGTGTTTTCTTGCAGATACCCTCTCCTCGTTCATTGTTGGCAAGTGAAGGTTGGTGTCAAGTTGAGAGTCAAAGTGTTTTTTTACAGATACCCTCTCGCTCATCGTGTTGGCAAGCGAAGGTTGGCGTCCGGCTTCTCAACGTGTGGATTGAAGATATTTGTCGAAGAACCCGAAATTTTTTGCTCCAACACATCCTCATCAGTTCCTTGATCAATCAAAGATTATCAACATGTGCTCAGAAACTAGTCCTCCCAGACTATCATTCTCCCATGATCTTATACAACCAGATGTTCTACCAGTTGGTCGGAGAGACACATCACTCTTGGACATGAACTGTGACTTTGAGTTCAGCTTCAGAAGAAGCAGCTTCGAGTGTCAGTCTTCCTCCGCCGACGAGCTGTTTTTGCACGGCGTAATCCTCCCTATGCAGCCGAAAGAAAAGGTTTCGAACAGCGAAGTCAAAAGTTATTCTTCTCCTGCTCCTCTTCCGAGTCATCTTCCAATCCATGACGATCATAATCCAAAGAAGAAGAGCAAGAACTCGAAGGAAGATATAGATTCGAGTTCCGATCATTTCGAGCAGAAGCCTCAGTCGAAATCCTTCTGGGGATTCAAGAGAAGCAGCAGCCTCAATCAAGAAAACAAAAAAAGTTTGTTTTGCTCATTGCAACTCTTGTCAAGAAGCAACTCAACCGGATCAGCTCCGAATCCGAAAAAAGCTATTTTTAAGGATGTTCATAAACAAAAACAGACGTCGAATATTTCAATGTTGAAGTCAGCATCATGTTCATCATCTTTTTCTTCATCGTCTTCGTTGAACCCGCATGCATCGCTGGTGCCGAGGCCGCCGTTGAGGAAGGGATACAATGGATCGTCTTATTACGGCAACGTGGTTCGAGTTAGTCCTGTGTTGAATGTACCATCTCCTTACATTTCTAAAGGAACTGCAAAGCTCTTTTGTTTGGGTTCTTTTTTACACCCCGGTAAAGATAAAAAGGGCAAGAAATGACTTATGTTCGATTACAAGCGATGTTACCATTCTAGACTTTTGTTCACTTGCTTCCTCGTCGAATGTTTCAGTTTACATGGAAAGAAGGAAGCAATGTTTAGCTTATAGAAATTCACTTGCAATACCGTTACGGTTGGCAGTCAAATTTAGTATATGATTAGATTGAGATATCGAGTTAATAATATTACTGAGTTAAAAGAGTGGGTGAATAGAGGGGGTTGGAAGATTTTAACGTGTTAAAATGTCATTAGTTAGGAGACACGAAATGTATCCCTATTATTAAGGATTTGTCTTCATTGTGGTGGGAGAATTGCTGTTGTTTATATTCTAGGTGTGCTTTTGGTTCATGTCTATAATGCTAATCAACATACACCCTTTTTGAAATTGGTAGTTCATTGTTGTTTCTTTGTGAGTGATTTTGTTTGCTATTTTTTTTTAAGGGATCAGGTGGTAGCGAAGCTATGGCAGCCCATCTTTTCAAGGGTCGGAAAGAATCACATAAACATTTTAGTTTTCTGGTCACTATTGTGTGATTCACGAGTCAGGAATCAAACTCATAATCAATTGTGTGAATAGGGGCCTAGAATTAGCCCTAACTACTGGGGTACCCCTTGCCCCTTGGTTGTTTGAATGATTCTGTTTTCTCAGCTAACCTTTTTTTTCTTTTTTCTTTTTTTGTAGCTCTGTGTGAAATGAATCAAGGGTTTTTATTGGGTAGTAATCACGACACTCCAAAATGAATATTTTTCTGAACTTTGAGCGATATAAAACTAAGAAGAATGGGCAACCTGACTACATGATTGATCATGTTACTCTTACAAAGAAACATGCTCTTTTGTATTAGAGTACCATCCGGTCTCATCACGTAGGTACAACCTTCACAATTTTACTTACAGTGGGAGTGTCCGATCGCTTATTATTTATTAATTGCATAGTTAAGTTGTTTTACTGAAAATTTCTCTAACAAACGTGAAGTGATGAGGATTGAAAAATGGAGGCAGATTGTCTGCCCTCCTGTTTAGATGCACTTCTTATCCTCTTCTATTTTGTACGGTTATCAAGTCATATCAATATTTTATATTAATTTTTTTTATAAAGATAATAAGATAAAAAGCAATAAGAATATAAAATGTTGATGTGGCTTAACCGTGATCGTACAAATAGAAAGATATAGAAAAGACACCCAAACAGGAGAGCAGACAATCTGCCTCCTTGAAAAATCACTAGAATCTCTCTCTTCTATTAAGATTTGTGATTGAAGAGACAAAGGAAGCTGGTTTCATGCGTGGAGTGGGTTGGAAAAACACCAAATCCATGTTTGAAATGTCATACACTTTATAGATTTCTTGTCAGCATTAAACCTTTAGCTGTTGAACTAATTTAATCACGGACCATGTCTTCTGTTCGTCACCAAAACTTCTATACATATTGGCAATTGGGGTCCCAAGCAAGCAATTGCTAGATGCTTTTTCCCGCACAATGTGCAAAAGACTTAGCTGTCCAGATCTGTGCCAATGCTTGGAGATTACTCTTTGGATGACGTTGGATTGACACAACAATGATGGACATGTCATTCGTGATGGATGGAAATCACACCCTTGTGCAATAGAGTTTTCCATCTCCGAAATTCTTCCATGCTTCAGTGTATTGGACATGGATCATCTCCAGATTCATTGGTCCTAATCCATCAAGTCACATCATTTAGTTTATTGAAATTTAATCAAACGGTCAAAATTATTTTAACTTTTAAAATGAGTCCCTGTTTGTAGCTGTTGGATTAAATTTCAATGGCTCGGATGATGTAACTTGGTGGATTAGGACCAATGAATCCGGAGAGGATCCATGTCTTATAAACTAATATTTTTTTTTGTTATAACTTAATCATTAGATTCTTAACCAAAGATTTAAGAATTAAGTAGTTAAAACCCCTCAACCTTTTAGTATCATTCTAATTGTTCTCAATATTTTTAAACATTCCAAATAAGTATCCAACCATTGAAATGTCACATCTGTTAAATCCCAATTAATTTTTCCCTTAAATGTACAAGTGAAAAAATGAGTCCCACTTTTTAGCTTACTTGGACACTAAAATAATAATAAAAATAACTTTAAAAAAGACAGGAAGATGAAAAATAAAAAATAAATAAACAAATTCACAAATAAAATGGAAATAAACAAAAATGAAGATTGGAGAACATCAAGCCCTATCACCTCCAAGCTCAACCTACGACCATTGGAAACCTCGTCCCAAACTTTATATTCAAAACCCAACAACTAGTTCAGCTTCTAGTTTTTCTTTGTGGTTAGTGAAGATGGTAGTAACCGCAACATGACAGTCCATACCATTTCGGCAACCTCCATGACCTTTTTCTCAATGCTGGCAGCTTGAGTTGTAGGGTGAATTAGGTGGTTGAGTGTTGAGTTTGGCGATGATAGCTTGATGGAGGTGTTGGTGACTGTTAGTGAAGGTCATGCTTCCATGACCCTCTATTGGTCTTGGAGATAAATTAACTAACAAATTTAATAGGTTGAATACTTGTTTGAAATGCTTTAAAAAGTTAGGATCAATTTAAAATGACATTAAAAGGTTAGGAAGTTTTCGGTACTTAATCCAAGATTAAACGAACAAAACCGTAGTGTACAAGATGCTGGGAACATCTTTCTCAATCAATATGATTTTCATTCAAGTTTCGTCCAAAGTTGCATCTGATGCTCACAATGGAAGAAAAAATGTCCTAGCGTGCGTCCAGGTGCAACTTTTGGACAGAGAAGTGAACAAAGCGTGGTGGAAAATTTTACAGTTTAAGTAAACAGGACCGAAAACGTTAACGTAAGAAAGGAGGGAAAAATCCAACGAAATCATGGATCGAAAAATTTACAGCACCAAAGAAAAAGCTACACTAGCAAATTTATATACAGATGGCTTTCAATGCGCTCCGTTCGAAAAATGAATGTCTCAAAACCAAGGCAGGATGATACTTACCAGGCTTCTACAAAATTTGCTGTGTCGGATGTCAAATAACCAGTTTTATGGTCACGGGAAAATTGAATTGCCTGTACAAGTATCTACAAACCAACATGTATACATCTCTTTGTCAAAAAATAAAACCTGTCTTTAGTTCGGTGTTGAGCAGTCGGTATATGATGTCTCCCCCTTGATCACCCGGGTGTTGTAAGATCCGCAGTTCCCGCACTTGTGATATAGCCAGTGAAACCGTGAGGTACCCTTTCGATCACAGTCGTTACATAGAATGTCCTGGTTGGAAAATTAACTTGTCAGATGGTTCCTTTACTATTACGCCTCTAAATTTCAACAAAATAATGCATCTATCACGAGTGAAGATGTGCTGTCTTTAAGGAAATGAAAAGTAACAGAACAAATAATATCGTCAAATTAAACACGTGAAGACCAAGTCGCAAGTTTGAATGAGACGGAACTATCATAACGTAGAACCTTGTAATCTTCTTTGAGATAGGAGACCTACTAATTCAGCATGTCAAGATGACTAAATTCGAGAACATGAATATAATAAAATGAGTAGAAGCAATGTACCTGACAACGGTTCCTGTATTCCTCTGGAAGCTGCTCGGCAGCCAATAATGCGTCAAGCATGCCAAAGTAAACCTGAGTAGGTATAGAGATTAAGAAAGATCTCACAGTTGGGTTTCATAAAGGATCTCAAGAGATAATGACAAAGCTTCTCCAGTAACGAAAAAAGAAGAAGAAAAAAGTTAAAAACAAACGAGAAATCCTCTTACTGCCATATCTCCCAAAGATTTGCTGCAAATTGGACAAGTATAGTGACTGGAAGTGTATGCCTAATAGAAAACGACACGGTAGTTTAGTTTTACTTTCTTTTAAAAAGAAAGGAGAAAAGCACATGGCAAATGGATTAAAAAGAAGCTTTATAAAAACAGAGACCTGAAAGCAAGCAGAATGCATGTAGTGGCCACAAGGCAGAGCTCGAACCGTTGCACTTGATGTGAATAAGAAATCACAGCAGATGGGGCAATTTGTTTCTAAACTCTTCTCCAGGCACTTGTGGTTCACTAACTTTATCCCCAGGCAACAATTGCATGTCATGCAATGAAAGAAGTCAATGCCAAGACCCTTTCCAAGTCGGCATAAATTGCAAAATGGGCAATGATACACAGTCCTGAAATTGTAAAAGGAAGATGTAATTTACACATAAGAATTCACTAATTATCAGAATTAAAATATGTACAAAATTGAAATTTCAATTAAGAACTCATATACCTTTCATCGTCAAAAAATTTACATATATTGCAGTAGTACTTTGCCATGGAGAGTTCATTGCATGAAGGTGTAGTGCATATTGGCCCAACAGGCTGAACGGTCAGGCAGCGCATGCACATCATTTCAGATGTTGCTTTCCTGCAATGGTTAAGAGAAAGTCAGAGGTATTACCCCAAAAAGAAGAATAAGAATAAAGTTAATGTGCAGTAACTTGAAATATAAGTGTTGATAATTGAAAAGTACCTATCCATTGAATGATCGCTCACATTGTCATGGCAAAATCTACACGTAAATAACTTGCCACAGCAAGCAGCTCGGAGTTTACAGTTTCTTTTATAGTGTTCACACCCAAACTCTTTTTTCTCAGCATCTCGATACATTGGTGAGTGTCCAACCATGTCTTCACCATTAGATGATTCTCCAGCTATTTCTTGAGGTAACTTCTGCTGAGTAGCTATCCAGCGGCTGAAATAAACGAGTCAATCATTATTTAGGAATTTTGGCCAATAGGGTTATGTTTTTTAGACGTCATGATCTAGTTTTTGTGTCAGAATAAGATAGTGTAGTAATCTGAGAAATTCTAGAAGGTTAGTATAGAACTAACCTAGTCATAAGATTCTGCACAAGATATGCCTTTCTCCTTGGATCAAGAGTCGCATCACGATAAACCTTTCTGATCTCTGACTCAAGTTCATTTTGATTCATACGGAAAATATCCTTCCAACCAGGTTTGAACATCTGATCAGTCTGATCCAAGCTTTCTTGAAATTCAACCCCTAAAACAAAATAAAAGTTAAGATAAGCTAAATTAATCCAGTTAAGAGGCAGCTTTTTAGACATTAAATTCACTGAAGCTCAGAATTATAATTGGGGTCCAGCTGGTACTTGTGTTCCCAAAATCAAGTTGGTTATTCAAAAATTAACTTGATGGTACTAAAAAGTCTAATATTTCCCATTAGGAGTCAGGACAAAGGCATAGCCCTCATTCGACATGGTGGATTGACTGCCTTAACTGTGTTTATCTTCGACAAAAACACCCAGATCGTGATACAAACCTTTTTGAGGAGTGCTACTTTCCGATGTTTCAGTCTGTGAAGTTAATTCTGAAATTCCTTTCCAGCATTCATTAAGCCACTCATTGAACATTGTATTTTTAGTTGCTTGCTTCCACGTATCCATCATTTTGTTCTGTTCATCCTGAGTAAGTGCAGAAGTCACCCATGGTAACATTGATTGGAGCACCTCAGCACCCGTGGTCCCAATAATGCGGCCAACTATTTTGTCTTGCTCCTCCACAGTGAAGTGTCTGCCGAATAATGGCCACAGCTCCAGTTCTTCCCTGAAAATATGCTGATCTAGTGTAACCTTGATTGATTTGCACATTCCTTGAAGCTTCGTAGCTAGCTTGTCATACTTTTTAGAGTAGTTACCATTAGCAGCAGAAAAGCCAATGCTACTTCCAGCTGAATCCTCGTCCATGTGATCCTTTTGCAAGCTTTTATGAAGGTGAGAAAGCTCCGACAGAACACATGAGATATCTTCAAATAATTTCTCCTCCTGTTTATGGTCCAGTGTGTATGAGTGACTCACATTATGAAGCGCCTCTTTGGATTCCAGTGCAGGAAACACTATATCATCCTCCGCATTACTATGCGCTCTGTATAATCCCCACAGTAAACGAAACCTTCCTATGAACTGCCGAAGAGTGGTTTCATCACAATAACTAAGCTTTCCAGATTCACTATCTAAATACTCCAAATCTTTGCGTATGGCTTTATGAAATTTAAAAATAGTATCAATAGGGCGTTCCCCACAGCCAATATCAGAAGAAGAATGATCCATTTCCCAGACAAAAAGACTGGAATTCAGTGATGGGGCACCAGAGCTGAAAGATAAGGATCGCAAAGACTTGGCCCCAAAAAGAGAACTCGGCCCAAGATTATTGCTGTTCACTCCTAAACCTGGGACACGGCAGGACTGGTCACTACCATTGTGTTTGCATGACATAGAAACATTTCGTTTGGCTGGCCTCTTCACATTATTTGCTTGAGCTGGTGTCAGGCTGTCTCTAGCAGACGATGCGGAAGAACACGCACATGCTGAACGAACAAAACCTTCTTCAATATCAGTGAAGCTTTTAACAGGACAGCAACCAATTGCACTTGACGACAAGCATGAACCCTGACTACGAGCCTTGCATGCCCATCCCGAAAAGAGTGTTACTAAAGCAGAATCAGGCACTGGAGCTGAATCATAAACTAGATGTCAGAATAGAAAATGACTAGTAAACTTTTTTATTAATATTTTTCAATTAAAAGGTGAACATAAACAATAAATACAGAACCTGCTAACTGCATGTTTTTGAGAAAATTCTTTGTTTCATCTTCAGTCAACGTTCCAACCAGCCAAGGTAAAACACGCTCAATCAGTCTTAAGGGCATCATACACAAAGATTGATACAAAAGTTCACGCTGCCTTTTGAAGCTGAAGTGCTCTCGAGCAAGTGGAAGAACCTAGATATGCAGGGAATGGAGCAATTACCGTTAGGAATTAGATGGGATATTAATTCTGTAGTTCTAGTATCTATTATCTAATAATTATCGAACATGCCGTGCTACCAATTTATTATCATTTAAATATAATTTCTATGAGGTAATCAACCTTCCACACAACTTATAAAAGCACCAAAAAAATCCAGAAGAATTATTGTAGCAATAAAGAAACTTTACCTGAACTTCTTCATTGCTAAAGTGCCTCTGGATAGTTTCCATTATTTGATCAGCATGAGAACATAACTTTGCATAAAAATCAGCGGAAGTAGAGATGGCTCCTGCACTTTGAATATTTTCAATCAAACACCTGAATTCGTTGAATTGACTTTCTTCTTCAGCATGCTCTTGGAAAAAGGAAATTTTTCCATCAACTGCTGGAAATATGACCTTGTCCTCAGCAATACTGAAATCAGCAAATAAGTGATGTTAAAATAAAAAGGAGAGAAATTAAGATATATAATCACAAGTGCAGGTGAGGAATTCATTAGGAGCAGACTCTAAATGATACATCAAGTGACAGAAACAATTCAAAGAGTAGAGAACAGGGAAAAACTGGAATTATTAAAAATTTAATACCAAAATTGAATCATACCCTATGACATATTAGCTTTAACATGTTGCAGTACCAATTCATGCAAGCATAGTAGAAACTTTTTACTAACCACACATCATTCAAAATGGAAGAAAAACTAAAATCCAGCAGAAGTTAAATGAGTTGACTTTCCATCAGATACATGATAGATATGTAGACATACCTGTGAAAGATGCAAACTTCAGCGATAAATTGCAACCTCTCATTGAAAGCTGATATATTAGTAAAATCTCCATAACATTGTATCTTCCTAGCCTCCTCAGCTATCTCATTTAACTCCCTTTTAATGGCATTATGCCAAAGAAGTATTTCATTTATTGGGTGCCCTGCAATGTTATCAGAAACATCAGTACTTGATTCTAAGTACTTCCTTTTCCCAGTCCTGCACTCGCATGCAGAATTTTCCTTCTCCATATGTTGACTTGATGTGCTAGCACCAGAATCCACACAACATTGGAACTGAGGGGCATCTAGACAACTTCCGAACATGTCAACACTGTTTCTACCTCCCATCCAGGTGAAAATGACCTTCAAGTAACAAAGAGCTGTCAGTTATGTGCATTTGGAGAGCAATACTAGAAAAAAACTGAATTCTTTGACCAACTCTGAACATTACTTGTTGAAGAAGCTTTTCCTCTGGAACAATCTTCCTTAAGCATTTTTGCAAATCCTGATGTTCATCAGGTGAAACAGATGATGAAAGCCATGGAAGGAACTCGGCCATCATATTCACAGGAATGCTGCACAGAAACTGCCAGACCAGAGCTGCCTGCTCTTCAACTGAAAATTTCTCAATGAGTAAGGGAAGGACCTGCCAAAAATAAAACTGAAAATAAGTTCCGATCTCACTGTCTAAGTTCAGCATAAAAGAACATTTCTGGAATATGAATAAAGACCTCCAAGGAGGTCCCTTGGTTGACAAACGGAAGTTCCCTAAGAAGCATAAGTCATCACCTCTTCCAGTTCGTATGGACAGCTATTGTGGTGCTCACACTATATGAAGAAAGATCTCCCAGGGGGTCCCTTAGTTTACCGTAGTTCCTCCATTCCCTTCCTACTGCGGATGCGTGGGGTTTCCTTGTCGTTGATGTGTGTGTGTGTGTGTGTGTGTGTTTGTATGTGTGTGTGTGTGTGTGTGTGTGTGTGAGAGAGAGAGAGAGAGAGAGAGAGAGAGAGAGAGAGATGAGTCAATTATGTGTACACACTAACAGAGACAACTTGATGCACATAGAAAGGGGATTTTGTGTGGAATACATGTGCTTGCTACCAATCAGACAGTTTTGTAGCTCCTAATTGAAAACATTCCAGGGCAGAAACTCAACTAACAGTATATTAGTGGTTGAACTTTGTCGGGAAACTTTGTGTTCAGTAACTATGGTGATCATCAGATTTTCTTACTTGTCATAGCTCCTAATAGACCAAAATTGCAAAGTTGGATTTGCATGGCCAGTACATTTAGTTAAGGAATTTCATGAGGAAAAATAAGTAAAAGTGATGATCATTAATGGTTATTATACTTTCCATAGAACACCACCAGGAGCTTATCACAAACTGACATAGTATAACCACATATGCAGCCACGTCATAGTATTACCACTAGAAAATATTATACGAATACCAACTATTTTAGAAACTCTCTTTCCATTTTTTTCATCCATAAAAAGCAATTACAAATAACACGTAAATGATTAGGAATAACACGTTGGCCCAACTGATGGTATATAAAAAAAAAGAGTAAAGATTCAAACTTCAAAAAAAGAATCAGCACCTGTTCCTCCTCCTTTGCCAGGTGTTGGCTAACTGATGTTTGTAGAGCTCCTGTACAAGACGCTAGCTCTCTTGGGAAATTTTCATCATTTTTCGCATTTGAACTTAGCAGCTCAAATAGATGATCAAAAAGATTTGTTTCGCCCTTATGCTCAAGCGAGTATGTTTGTGCTACATTCTTCACGCGTATATCAAGAGCTGGAAAGATTACCTGAATTTCTAAAAACAATCACTTGATTTGGAAAGATACAAAGAAGCTTGCGACTTTTTATTAATTTTTTGTTCTGATGGCACTACAAGTGTTCGAAACCATAAATAGAAGAGAAGATGCAGCGGAAAACAAAATGTCCGTGTGACATTGCATGGCCGGGCTGATAGAAAACTTAAACAAGAAAGAAAATTTTGAAAAACAGAATACAGTTCAAGTTCAGCCATTAAATATTAACTCTACTTTGATGATGCAAAACGAAACACCATCCCAGTTCGGAAATTGAACAAAGCTATATCAACAAAGGATCATGATATCTTAAAATGTTAGAAATAAAATTGCAATCTTTACCAACACACATGTAATTGCAGCAAAACCTTCACTAATATCAAAGATTATACACAAGAAACCAAGACATACAGCTATAATTCAGAAATCAACACTTTATCAAAATTCAGAATAAACTAATTTCTTCGAACAAATTGAAATTCCTGAATGCGATTTCAAAACTCAACGAAAACCGAATCCAACAAATAGAGAGAAAAATCATTGACCTCGTCTTCGGCATTGGAGTGGTGCTTGTAAATCGATCTCAAAAAATGGTAGCGCTCGAGCAGCGGCCGTATATCGGTTCTCTTTCCGGTGGCGAAGGCCATGGCCAGTCGGTGGAGCGCATCGAGCTCCTTCCGAATTGCCTTGTGAAAGAACAGGAAAATCAGAATCGGCCTCCTTGTCGGCTCCTCCGTGCTCGCCAAGCAGCCATTGACCGATGACGATTCCACCTTGTTGACGGAATTCGACAGAACCACCAGTCCTCCGCCTCCATCCGTTAACGGCGCCGCCATCCCCGTCTTCCAGGAAATCGGAGAATTCTCTCTCTCTCTCTCTCTCTCTCTCGCTTTATCCTTCTCTTTCTCTCTCTAGCTGGGCGCTTGCTCTGATAACTGAACTTTCTCTCTCTACAGTATTTTTATCCGAATTTAATTTTTGTCGGTTATTTCGTTCGACGGAGAAGGAGTAGGTCGATAAAGATGGGGAATGAGGAAGAGGAGTTTTTATAGTCCGCACGGCGCCACGTGGCGCGGACGTTCGCCACTGTGGGCGGTGATGTCATTAACGGCTAGTCACGTGAGGCACTTGTTCATGTATGGTAAGGAAATTACCAAAGAATTGTTTTTCATACAGAAAATATTTGTTTCTTTTCTCTCAATTAATCCAATTTTTGAAACAAAATTGGTGATTTTTTTCCTTATTTTCTTATTTCGAACCATTTATAATTAAATAAAAACAAAAAATATCTAATGCCAGCTTCTGTCAGGTTTTTCAAAGAGGGATTCGATCATAACTGACGACATTCTGACTTCAATAAAGAAGAATTGAAGCATGACCATAAAGGAAAACCACGGAAAAGAGCCACAGTAGTTCAAATTCAATTAGCTTGACGTATGCGTGCTTGAATTCTATAGAGATACGTATGTGATCAGTAGCTGAGCCAGACTTTGTATTTTTAAAAGTTAATTAATAGCTAAAAGGTTAGCGAAGGTTATCTCTATAAGTTTTATATAGCCTAAAATTGTTTATGGAACTTGGGGGCTGTAAATAATACAACCACTTCCGATCTGTATATAACTACGTAAATTTGGTATAGAGGCATTCAATCTTAACTTTGTTGATTAGAGTTAAAACTCAATTTGTTTTGGCTCATACCTAAAAGAGTGCTTAATAGTATTTGGTAATTTAAGAGCCTTACCAACTTGATCAATTATTTGAACATCAAACTATACATATGCATTATTATACGTTGAAAGCAGACTAATTTAATCCTTGTGGTGTAAGAAAATGAAATCAAATAATTAAGTGAGTCGTTTTCGAGATGGTTGGAGATTTAAAGACTAGAAAGGGAAGGGCGTTTAAGGTTGAAGCCTTGAAGGCACACAGGGTGCTCGTGCCAATTGTGCTGTGGTTTGACTAGGCTCGTGCCAGCCCACGCCCCCACAAGTTACACCTCAGTTTTGTCGAGTTTTTGAGTCGTTTGCAATTTCTTTCAGAACTGCATACTCTGTTTTTATTAAATTTTTTCTATTTTAATATCGCGTTGTTGTATGATTGTATCTTTATTTGCTTAAGCATAAAATAAAATATTTTTAAGGTTAGACTTAGGAAATGGATCACTTGGGGAGATTATTGTTTGAGGGTTCGGTGTATGGTGAAATTTCTATAAATGAATAATGTTAGAAATTTAGAACTAACAAAAATTATTAATTAAAGAAGTTATTATTATATCGATAAATGAATAATTTATTAATTTATCGATAATTCAGATTTTTTTTATTTTTATTTTTGTGATTAAGAATCAATGCATGTATATAATAAAAAACAAAACAAAAAATCATGTATCTTATTGAGAAAACAAAGATGAGTAGAGGGTTTAGGGCTTTAAAAAAACGTAGGAAAACTAATGAAAAGTCTAAAAAAACTTTTAGTTTTAATGAAAAAGATCGTTAAAAGTGAACCGTATCAGGAGTGTTTCGTTAAAACTCTCTTAAAACTTTTAAGATAATTTAAGAACAAGAAGATAAAGTGTTTTAAAAATAAATCCCCTACAAGATAAAGTGTTTCAAGATGTTTTATGTACAAGAATCTAAACTCTATATATACACGTAATCTCTTTAGACTCCACAGCATATCATGTTTCTCTATGAGGTCTTGCATTGACTGGATAAGAAAGTGAACACAGAAAATTCCTGAAACGAAAGAGACAAGAACAACGTGCACAAACAAATATTATGTATTTGATGATTTTGGGTTACAATCTCTCTCAAATTTGATCATCTGATTCGATCTCCGTAAGGTGTTGATTTGTGGATGTGTGATTGATCCAAAGGGCCGTTGGGGCTTGATCTAAGAATGAACGTTCTTCAAGGGCCGTGGACTTGATCTTGAAGGTGGATTTGAGTGGATCTTCAAAGGGGCTTTTTTTTGGCTTGATCTTGAAGAACAACAGTGACGAAACGGATCTCCAAGGGCTTTTGGGCTTGATCTTGAAGAACAGTGATGAACGGAACTTCAAGGGCTTTTGGGCTTGATCTTGAAGAACGGTTGGATGTGTGGATTTGTCGACGTTGTTGATCCAAAGGGCCGTTGGGTTTTTGATCTTGGATGAAACGGATGAACGATGGTGCTTTCTTCAAGGGCCGTCGGGGCTTGATCTTGAATTGGTGGATGGTTTATCCAAGGGCCGTCGGGGCTTGATCTTGGAAGAAAGATGAACGAAGAACGAAGAACACTTTCTTCAAGGAAACCGTCCGGGCTTGATCTTGAATTATTAAGTGGATGATTGTTGATCCAAAGGGCCGTTGGGGCTTGATCTTTGGATGAACGATGAACGAAGAACGCTTTCTTGATTCTTCGGGAACCTGGATGCTTGAGAGCTTCGAAGTTTCAGAGCTTCAGAGCTTCAAGAGTTTTGCCTAATGATTTTGGTTCCCCAAATGAATGAAATGGGCTTGTATTTATAGAAATTTTCAAGACCTAATTTTGAATATAATATTCCAGATGAAATAAGTCGTTTCTGCCAGGTGTTGACACGTGTCCTATTTGATGACTTTTTCAACTCATTTCAATTTTCGTTGAGTCACAACGCTACGTATAAAATTTATGTAATTAATACATGTTCATGAGCTTTTTTGAAACTTTGATTTATCGGTCAACATTTATTTACCGAAATTTTGATGTCTACAAATGCCCACTTCACGTGTCCCGTCGCTTGTTGCGTGTACATGCGTTGAGATGTCCGTTTTTGAAGCCCTTACTTTAGTAACGTTATTCTCGAGATCCCAAGGGCCGTCGAGGCTTGATCTTGATTGGGCTGGAGATTTTTCTTCAAGGGCCGAATTTGAGGCTTGATCTTGAATTCGGCTTTGAGATTTCTTCAAGGGCCGTTGAGGCTTGAATCTTGAACTTTTGTTTGAATTTCTTTTAAGGGTCGTCGAGGCTTGATCTTGAAAGGTTGAAATTGGACCACAAGGAGCTTCATGTGGTAGATGATCTTTGCTTTAGGTAGTGATGAATCGGCACGTATTTTTGTTGCGCTTGTTTTGACTTTCCACAGTTTGATCTTGAACTGGGTTGGAGGAATTTTTTGGATTCCTCCACAATTGTTGATTTTCCACAGCTTATCTTGAACAGTTTTTGATTTTGAAGTTAATTAACCACTTCAAGGAGCTTCATGTGGTAGATGATCTTTGGCTTTGGTAGTGGATGAATCGGCACGTAATTTTGTTGCGCTTGTTGACTTTCCACAGATTTTTGACTTATTACTGGTTGGAGGATTTTCTGGATTGATCAATTGTTGATTTTCCACAGCTTATTCATTTGAACTAGGTTTTGATTCAAGGGTGGTAGACACTATTAATCTTGAATCGGACTTGTGATTTCCTCAAAGGGCCGTCGAGGCTTGATCTTGAAGGTGGAAAACTTCTGTCAGGGTTTTGGCTTGGACTTTCTCAAGGGCCGTTGAGGCTTGACTTGAACATGCTCGCAAACATGGCAAGCAGGCAGGTGAAGGTGACGACTTGTTTGCTTTTGTTCAATCTTTCTGAGCAGTTTGGTCAACGGTATGATCTTCAAGATTGATGGGCTTCTTGTCCAGTTGGTGACTTTGATCTTTTAAGGATTTATTTGATTGAATCAACACGTGGTGCAACGCCTAGTAAGTCGACAACACGTGCAGCCCTGCAACGCCTAGTAAGTCAGACCCAAGAATTTTGAGGGTCAAAACGAGTCAACCTCCAGAGTTTATTGCAACTTTATATGATATGAGTATATTTTATTTTGAAGAAGTAGCGGATGAATCATGTGGCACGTGCTTTGGTGCGGCTTGTCTTCACATTTCAATGTATCATTTCCTTTTGCTCTGTTCTTATATTCTTCTGTTCCTTCGTTCCGGAAATCTGGCATGTTATGCTCGAGTCCTCAGTTCGGACTCCTT